TATTTAATTCCAATTTTTCTTTCTTCTTGGTTTTTTATACTTTTTGGAAGAGTAGGTTTGGGAGTGGGGAGAATTCCCGACTGATAGCAGTCACATTCTCATTAGAAGTTAAGGACTTCTAATGAATTTTTTTCATGATTTTTAAAAATATGAAGTTTTCCTGTGATTCCTCAAGCTAATGGAAATGTGATTGTCATTCTGATCATGAAATGCTACTGTGCATAGTAAGCCCCTTTGGGCTTTGCCCATACCTGAAAGTCTTTCTGAAAACCTCACCACTGACTTCTTTCACTTAACTTACTCAGATGTGTCCTTGGAGATCTGTATTGAATATCTCTTCTCTCTAGAAGGTTTCCCTTACACCCCCTGTACTTGCATCCAACCCTTGTACTTTTACTTGCGTCTCACCCTGGGATGCTTCCGTTGCTCTTATTTCCCTAGACCACAATGATCTGCTTACTCCTCCATAGATTCTAGAAGGTACTGGACAAAGTATTCTCAGGAGATGCTTCTTCAAGATGCTTTGTGAAAACAGTGTGGTATGATCAAATATTTGGGAAATGCTGCATATTATATTCTTAGTCTTGTAGAGTCATGATTTATATATTAGAATTTGCAAAAGGTCTTAAAAAAAGAAGCCTGTTAATATTGATATAACCCAGAGCATACCAAAAGTAGTTGTTTATGAAACCCCCATGTACGTGTGACACATGTGTTAATACATGCTGGGAAGCTACACAAGAAACGCCTCCTTGATGTGACTATGGTAGGATCCTCAGCTCTTAGTACAGTGCCTGGTACATTGGTGCTACTTCATATATGCCTGTTGAATGACTTAATCTATCTTATACACTATCCCAGATGCTTAGTTCTTTACAGAAACATGTTATAAGTTGGTTTGACATAAAAGGGATCACAATGGCATAAACTCGGGAGAGCTGTGTAGGTCTGCTTCAGATAAATAGATTTGACTCCAATGTTGAATGTTATTTTTGAATCATGCGGATATTTACTAAGCAAAGAGCATTCAGGGGAGGGTGACCAGGTTGTTTAAGGGATTTGGAAAACCTTTATGCAGGGAATGATGAGAAGTAGTGAATACATTTAGTTTGGAGAAGATAATGCTAATAAAAAAAATTATCTTTAAATATTGAACAGTGACTAAGATATCCTTTTACCAGTCAAAAATTTCATAGTACAGTAAAAAAAAAAACAAACCAAAACAAAACAAAAAGACAAAAAAAAAACTGATTATAAAAACTGACACTTATAATGAAATAAGTGTCCTGGTAAAACATCTTCAGCATCAGAGAAAAGAGTGAATATTTTGCTTGGAGGGCTGGGTGTGTGATGGGTAGTCAGGAAGACTTCTCCAAGGGGACAGCATCTGAACATATTGTAATGATGAGCATGTGTGGAGTGCTCCATATCACAACACAGTCTACTCCTGAAGAAAGATCTAGGTGAAAGTTTAGAGTTTATTTATTATTTATTTTGCTTTAAGGGAAAACTGTTATGTTTGGACAAGAGAGCTGTTTCTATCAATTGTTCTACTTTGAACACTTCTAAGTTGTGGCATAATGCAGCATGCAGTGGCTGAAAATATATGAAGCACTTTTTGAATTGCTGACTTAAAAGTGAAACATTGAATAATATTTTTCTTATTTAGGTTTAAGCTGATTTTTTTTTTTTTTTTTTTTTTTTTTTGAGACAGAATCTCACTCTGTTGCCCAGGCTGGAGTGTAGTGGTGTGATTTTGGCTCACTGTAGCTTCTGCCTCTTGGGTTCAAGTGATTCTCCTGCCTCAGCCTCCCAAGTAGCTGGGACTGCATGTGTATGCCACCATGCCCAGCTAATTTTTGTATTTTTAGTAGAGATGGGGTTTCACCATGTTGGCCAGGCTGGTCTCAAACTCCTGACCTCAAGTGATCCACCTGCCTTGGCCTCCCAAAGTGCTGGAATTACAGGTGTGAGCCACCTTTCCCAGACTAAGATGATTCTATTTATGATGACCTATTCTTGGTAATGGACTTCTTTTTTTTAAAAGGAGGTGAGAAATTCTGTGGGCTTCAAAGAAGTGTCGATTTTAGGTGGCTCAGCATATGGCTGAAACACTTGTAGTTTACATTGTAAAATATTGACTTTATAAGTAGATCATTCTGTAAGATACATGAATTCAATACTTATCTTTCTACTTATTGTAGATTTCCGTAGTTCTATATCATCAGAAGGGCTGAAACATATTCAGAAAATAGACAGTTTGGGCCGGGCGCAGTGGCTTATACCTGTAATCCTGGCACTTTGGGAGGCCGAGGTGGGCGGATCACAAGGTCAAGAGATCGAGATCATCCTGGCTAACATGGTGAAACCCCGTCTCTACTAAAAATACAAAAATTAGCTGGGCATGGTGGTGCGTGCTTGTAGTCCCATCTACTTGGGAGGCTGAGGCAGAATTGCTTGAAACCGGGAGGCAGAGATTGCAGTGAGCCAAGATCGCGTCACTGCACTCCAGCCTGGTGACAGGGTGAGACTCCATCTCAAAAGAAAAACAAAAACAAAAGAGACTGTTTCACAACCTTGGAGGAAGAGATGATTTCATTAATCCAAATGAAAATACAATGATTTAATAGATTTTTTTAAATTTTTTTTTTTTTTTGAGATGGAGTTTCACTCTTGTTGCCCAGGCTGGAGTGCAGTGGCGTGATCTCAGCTCACTGCAACCTCCACCTCCCAGGTTCAAGTGATTCTCCTGCCTCAACCTCCCAAGTAGCTTGGATTACAGGCATGCACCACCACACACAGCTAATTTTGTATTTTTAGTAGAGACAGGGTTTCACCATATTGGCCAGGCTGGTCTTGAACTCTTAGCCTCAGGTGATCCACCCACCTCGGCCTCCCAAAGTGTTGGGATTATAGGCATGAGCCACCACACCCAGACTAAGTTAGATTTCTATTAGAAAAAGGAATCAATGTTAAAGTTTATATTTCTAAGAAATGTTTTCATCTGTCCAACTCCGTGTTTTTCTTGTTTGCTTATAAGAGTAAAAGAAATGATTTCACTGTTTTATTTCATACTGAACTAACAGGCTTCACTTGTTTCATAATTTTACCATATAAAGCTCTTGGTGTTAGTTTTGTAGACACTGAAAATTATTTTTTAAAATGAAAATAGTTGGTTGCCAAATGAAATTGTGGATTATGCTTCCCTAAAGATGTTTTTAAAATACAGTATTTATATTTACTTAAAATAGAAAATATATATTTTATATAAAATATAAAAATCATATTTTTTAAGTTGAGAATGATCTGCCTGATTCTGGAGATGAGTTAGTTGAACATTCATTCATTCATTCATTCATTCATTCATTCAGGAAATGTTTTTGAGTGACTATTAGTAATAAGACACTGGGGGTTCTCATTATCTATAAGATGTTATAAATGTGTATACAGAAAAGGGACTAGTTCTTTCAGCATTTGTTAAACAGATTACCTTAGAAGGCAACCCAATTTAGGAAACAGGGTGTAGGTTTCAGAAGCAGACTGATGTGAGTTTGAATCTAGGTTCTGCTACATACTAGCCGTTGTTATTTTTGACAAGTTAATCGATGTCCCAATTTTCGGTAATAAATGAGATATTTATAGTATTAAAACAATATACCTAAAACAATGTCTGATACAAGTAGGCATTTAACAAATAGTCAACATCATGGCCATGCAAATAGGCACAATCAACTTAAGTTATTAGCTCAGTTTGCTCCTGTTCTAATAATGATAGGTCTCAGCCCATCTGGTTATTTCCAAGACTATTTCAGAAACATTATAGAATCTTGATTGATAAACAATACAATAGAATGATGATGGTTCATAAGTGTTCATATTTAAACAGTTTGAACAAATGTTCATAATTGTTTTGCAGTTTAAAAAGGAAGTTTTTCTGGGTACAAGGAAAGAAGACTGCTTTTTGACATTGTGGAAGGAAGCTGTGAATAGTATTAAATCCCATTTACATTTGTATGCTTTAAAAATTTCTTGTATATAAGCCAGTTTTAATAATTCTTTTTTTTTTTTTTTTTTTTTTTTTGAGACAGAGTCTCATTCTTGTCGCCCAGGCTGAACTGTAGTAGCGCGATCTCAACTCACTGCAACCTCCGCCTCCCTGGTTCAAGCTATTCTCCTGCCTTAGCCTCCCGAGTAGCTGGGATTACAGGTGCCTGACCCCTCATCTGGCTAATTTTTGTACTTTTAGTAGAGATGGGGTTTCGCTATATTGACCAGGCTGTTTGTGAACTCCTGACCTCAGGTGATCCACCTGCCTTGGCCTCTCAAAGTGCTGGGATTACAGGCGTGAGCCACTGCACCCAGCCCAGTTCTAGTAATTCTTTATTTTCCACTTGTTTAATGTAAGAAATAAAGAAATACAAGTGAGTATAATAGATTTTTTAACTTTCTTTCCTGTTTCCCGAACTTTAAAACCCATCACTCAATTTGAAGACAATGCATTTTCATATGTGTTAGGAATTCACTTCTTCATACTTCTCAGATGCTCAGACATTGTGGACATCATGTCTTTCATCCTTTACCTTTGGAAACAACTTGTATGGGAGAACATCTTATCAAGGATAATTGTGCTGTGGTCACACATGTCCTTTACTCTCCATGTTGAAAATAGAGCTATGATAAGGAAGCAATACCTAGACCAATGTTTTTTTGGCCCAAAAGAGGCTAGTGCAGAATCAGACGAGGTTTTGAAGTGGTCTAAAGATCTTGGACCACCTGGGTCCTGGTCATTTCAAGACTATAGAATCTTAATGTAAATTGGAGAGACATAATTATTGAAAATAAATCTGAGTCTACTCTAATATTGACTTGGACTCATTTCAAAGTCTTAATATGATCTTCAGCCTTCCTTTCAGAGAAACCAATTCTCTAAATACGTATTCCTAGACCCACTATCATTGTCTTTGTACTGAATGATAATTGACAATTTTTTGGATTTCTAGAGACCTCTCCTGACGGAGCAATATCCTGGTCCCTAGGAAGCATTCCCTGTGATTTTGGTTGGTAAGTATGGGGTGTTTCAGCTTCACATTTTCCATTGGTAACATCTGCTTTTCTCATATGCATTAGTTATATAGAAAAGATCTCTAGAGGATGTCAAATGCCCTTATTCCTTTCCTGTATATTCTTTAAAGTATATTTTCAAACTTCCCTACTAATTAAATTCTTCCTTTTCCCTTTCCTGTTTAAAAATCACATTGTGTTATGCAAAATGGAGGCCTTGATTTTAGGGAAATGGGTCACATTATCATTTACTTCTTGAATTGTCAAAATAGGAAGTGATTCCACCAAATAAGAAAAGAAACATGCATAAAAGTTGTGATCTTTTTGAAAATGTCAGCAAAATTTAGTACTTAGTAGGGGTTGGAGGTGGTAGAGAGGTGGGAAGGAGACCAGAACACAGAAGGCTGTTACTTACATGGAGATGCCTGATCTTTGCCTACTAATTGAAAAAATCATGATCCATGTAACCCAAAATGAAGATGACAACCTAGATATTTTATCAGTTTTGTGGTCCACTCAATTCATTTACAGTTGAAATGTTTTGAAAACCTCCTAAAAGTTGAGCTGGATCATTTTTGCCTCCCACATTTGCTGCCTAATGTGCTACCTACAGTTCTGATGGGTGTTTCACAATCATCCAACATTCAGCCATGTTTCTCCAAATAGTCTAAGGGTTCATGTTCACTGGTCAGGACTGTGTTTTCTTATAATCTTTATCAGGCATTTAAAAGGAAGATCCTCCATTAAAAGGCCATGCCAAAATTTTAAGTTTCAGGATCGAAATAAAATTGTTGCATTTGAATGAATGTTCTTTAGAAATAATTCAACCGCATGTCAACCAGAATATGCCTAAAGGGCAACTTATTTAAATTTAGTTTTGAGAAACAGAACTGACATGATGTCATTTTAATAACAGATTGCATTTAGCCTTAACAATCACGTAAGGAATTAGCAAAATCCTAGTGAATTTCATTTTGATATATAAAATACATCAATGATATCTGGTTAGAAAGCTAGCTGAGTATACAAACATGCCATCATTCAAAGTTTTTATAATAATAATGATATGCTTTTAAATTATTTTTAAAATTTTTATTTTAAACTATAAATTTTTGCCAGGCACAGTGGCTCATGACTGTAATCCCAGCACTTTGGGAGGCCAAGGTGGGTGGATCACCTGAGGTTAGGAGTTCGAGACTAGTCTGACCAATATGGTGAAACCCTGTTTCTACAAAAAATACAAAAATTAGCTGGTGTGGTGGTACGCACCTGCAATCCCAGCTACTCGGGAGGCTGAGGTGGGAGAATTGCTTGAACTTGGGAGGTAGAGGTTGCAGTGAGCCGAGGTTGCATCACTGCACTCCAGGCTGGGTGACAGAGCAAGACTCCATCTCAAAAATAATGAAATAAAATAAAATAAATAAACTATAAATTTTTACTAAATGATAAATGATATTTATAATTTCTAGCAACAATAGAAATCTAGACAGTGTTTTTGAGAACTTACTATTGGCCAAACTATGTTAATTTAGAGCTTACATAGGCCATCTCATTTAACCATCACTAAAATTCTATAAAGCACGTTAATACTACTACCATTTTACATTTGAGAAGAACCAAAATATAGAGAAATAATTTACTCAAAGTTATCTGGACAGCAGTAAGTCTAGGATTCAAACACAAAACAGTCTGAATTTTAAGTCAGCATTCTTATCCATGTTCCTAAAAGTTGCCAAATAGGTAGAGCAGTGTATGCTTATGTGTCAGAGGTATCTTCCAAGACACCCAGTGGATGCCTGAACCCTCAGATAATACTGAACCCTATATGGACTATGTTCAATCTGATAACTGAGAGGCTCCTCAGTGACTAAAGGGCAGTTCGTGTATATAGTATGAATATACTGAACAAAGAGATTATTCATGTCCTGGGTGGGTTGGAGTGAGACAGTGTGAGATTTCATCATGTTTCTCAGAATGATGTGCAATTTAAAACTTAGGAATTATTTCTGAAATTTTTTATTCAATATATTTAGACTATGGTTGACCATGGGTAACTGAAACCACAGAAAGTGAAACTGCAAATAAGGATCAACTTCTATACTGGGGTTCATATTTCTTTTTTGGGGGGGACCCAAGTTAATCATAATTTTTATTTTATAGAATACATGAACTAAACTGCAGTAAACACATTAGAGAGATCTGAGGCTCTGAATGAATGAAAGAGCCCAATAGGCTCCCAGTAGTTCTATAGAATTGTACCTTTTTGTCACTGGAAAATGTTTTTTTTTTTTTTTTTTTTTAAATCTAAAAAATTGGCAAATAATAATTGTACATATTCATGGGGTACAAAGTGATATTTCATCATATATAATGTATAGTGATCAGAACAGAGTAATTAGCATATTCATAATCTCAAACATGTATCATTTCTTTGTGTAGGGAATGTTCAATATCTTTTTTCTATCTATTTGAAACTATATCATGTATTATTATTAACTACAGTCATGCTACAGTGGTCTAGAATACTAAAACTTACTCCTCCTATCTAACTGTAATTTTGTATTCCTTAACAAATCTCTCCCTACTTCTCCCTTCCCCCTACCGTTTTAAGCCTCTATTAGTCTTTGTTCTACTTTGTGCTTCTATGAGATCAACTTTTTTAACTTCCACATATCAGTGAGAACACGCAATATTTAACTTTCTGGTTGCTGGCTTATTTCATTTAATATAATGCCCTCTAGTTCCATCCATGTTGTCATAATGACAGGATTTCATTCTTTTCTATGGCTGAATAGTATTCTATTGTGTATGCATATGTTAGATTTTTAAAAAATCCTTTCATCTGTTGCTTGACACGTATGATGATATCTTATCTTGGCTATTGTAAATAGTGCTGTAATAAACACAGGGGTGCCGATGTCCCTTGTGATACAGTGATTTTTTAGATAAAATCTTTTCTTTAGATAAATGCCCAGTAGTGAGATTGCTGGATTATATGGAAATTCTATTTGTAGTTTTTTGAGGAAGGTCCTCTGTATTCTCCACAGTAGCTGTACTAGTTTACTTCATACCAGCAGTGTGTTAAGAGTTCCCTTTTCTCCACATTCTTGCCAGCATTCGTTATTTTTCGTTTTTGATAACAGCCATTCTAACTGGGGTGAGATGATACCCCATAACGTTATTGTGGTTTTGTTTTGCATTTTCCTGATTAGCGATGTTAAGCATTTTTTTCCAAACATTTGTTCCCCATTTGCATGTCTTTTTTTGAGAAATGTCTGTTCAGATTAATTGGTCATTTTTTTTCTGCCATTGAGATGTTTGAGTTCCTTGTATATTTTGTATATTAATCCCCTGTTGGATGAATTGTTTGCAAATATGTTCTCCCATTACATAGGTTGTCTTTTCACTCTACTGATTTTTTTCTTCTATGCAGAAGCCTCTTAGCTTAATATAATCCCATTTGCTCATATCTTGCTTTTGTTGCCCGTGCTCTAATAAAATCTTTTTTCAGACTCATGTCTTGAAGCATTTCATTAATGTTTTCTTCTATTACTTTTACTATTTTAAGCCTTACATTTAGGTCTTTGATCCATTTAGAGTTTATTTTTGCATATGGGGAGAGGTAGGGGTCTAGTTTCATTCTACTGTATATAGATAGTTTTCCCAACACCATTTATTTAAGAGAATGTCCTTTCCCCAATTAGTAATCTTGGCACCACTGTCAAAAATCAGTTGGCTGTAGATATATGGTTTAACTAATTTTGGGGTTCTTTATTCTGTTCCATTGGTCTATGTGTTTTTATGCTAATACCATGCTGATTTTGTTACTATAGCATTGTAGTATATTTTTGAGGTCTGGTAGTATGATATCTCCTTCTTTGTTCTGTTTGCTCAGGGTTGCTTTGGCCATTCAGAGTCTTTTGTGCTTCTGTACAAGTTTTAGGGTTTTTTTTCTATTTCTATGAAGAATGTCATTGATATTTTGATAGGAATTGAATTACATCTATAGATTGTTTTGGTTAGTATGTCATTTAACAATATTAGTCCTTCTGATCTATGAGCATGGGATGCCTTTTTATTTGTTTGTATCCTCTTCAATTTCTTTCATCAGTGTTTTTCAGTTTTCCTTGTAGAGTTCTTTCACCTCCTTGGTTAAATTGATTCCTAGGTATTTTATTTTATTTTTTGGTAGCTATTGTAAATGGCACTGCCTTCTTGATTTCTTTTTCAGCTAGTTCTTTATTTATGCATAGAAAGATTTCTTTGAATACTAATTTTGAATTTTATTTTTAGATATTAATTTTGTATCCAGGAATTTATTGAATTTGCTTATTAGTTCTAAGAGGGTTTTTTTTTTGTTGTTTGTTTGTTTGTTTTTTTTGTAGAGTCTTCAGGTTTTGCTATATATATGATTATGTTGTCTGTACACAGGAACAATTCGACTTCCTCCTTTCAAATTGGATTCTCTTTATTTCTCTCTCTTGCCTAATTGCTCTGGCTAGGACTTCCAGTACATGCTAAGAGTGATAAAAGTAGGCATCATTGTCTACTCCCATTTCTTAGGGGAAGAGCTTTCAGCTTTTTTCATTGAATAATATGTTGCTGTACCAGATATGGTTTCATTGCTTGAGCAAATTAATACATCTCCTGGTACCTGGTATGCAGACATTAACTTGGCAAATGCCTTTTTCTCCATTCCTGTCCATAAGGCCCACCAGAAGCAATTTGCCTTCAGCTGTCAAGGCCAGCAATATACCTTTACTATCCTACCTCAGGGGTATATCAACTCTCTGGCTTTGTGTCATAATCTCATTTGGAGAGATGTTGATAGCTTTTTGCTTCCTCAAGATATCACACTGGTCCATTACAATGATGGCATTAAGCTGATTGGATTCAGTGAGCAAGAAGTAGCAAACACACTGGACTTATCGGTGAGACATTTGCATGCAAGAGGATGGGAAATGAATCCAACTAAAATTCAAGGATTTACTTCAGTAAAA